ACCGTTGCATCAATGTCGATGCTACAATGCTATCACAAACAAAATCTACCATCAACAGCAAGGGTGAGACATATCTTTGACACCAATATAAACAAATTATCGCTAATAAGATCAACAATTGCGAAAGATGTTGACACCAACATGTTTGTTTCCTGCCATCGCCAACCTCTATACTGACCATCGTTAACAAGGTCGGTGCACATCATCTATATTAAAGCTATGCGCACAATTGCCAATAAGGTTTATGCACGATATCAATGGCAACTTCAATGAGTTTTTTGTGGAGCACAAATCCCGTTCAATGTAGAGAAAGCCTTAATATTTGCTGGAAACACGAGGTATTCAGAGAAAACTATGATCAGTGAGCTTTTGGATGAGACTTTAAAGATCACGAGTAAATAAAAAAAGATTGTGGCACTGATATTATGTTAGAAATCATAAAATGCTACATCTTTGTTTGATTAAATTTGATGTTAGAATAAATATGCCTTTATAAAATCAAGACAAGTGGGCGATAAGAAATATACAGTAAAGTAAGCCATCATCGATAATGAGAACATATTGCAGTTATAAACACTATAAATTTCTCCCATGAATATCGACCACATTTGACTACATGTGATTATATCAATATGATAACATCTTGAAGCATAATAACTCCAATGAATCTAATAAAAAATAACTCCATGTGTGCAAGCAATCTACGTAATGCTTATGGTTTTCTTACCTTCTAGTCTTTATCTTCTTTCTATTTCATTGAGTACTGATTCTATGATTGATTTTCTCACAGCTACAGGAAAGATCACTCGTAAAATTGATGTTTATGCATTTGGTGTGATACTGTTGGAGCTAATGACAAGCAGAAAGGTACTCGATGACACCGTCCCCGATGAAGATGCAAATTTAGTGGCAGCATTTCGCCGGATTCATCCGAGAGACATCGCCAAGTTGGAGAGATTCGTCGATTCTTCTATCTTCAACGATGAGGAATCTCGCAGCAGCATTGCAGAGGTAGCCGAGATTGCCTACCATTGCACCGCTCGCGAACCTAACTTCAGGCCTGAAATGAGTAACGTCGTCACCATGTTGTCTCCCATAGCCGACCGGTGGTGTCCCGGCGACTATGGCGATCACAACGATGATGGCGATTCGACGGTAAGTCTCACTAGTATGGTTCACAGATGGCAGATGAGCGACAACTCTTCGTTTAATGATTCGTTCAGCAATTACAAGCCAAGTACAAGTGCCTTGCGTTAATGGACTCAGTGTTGGCTGCTTGTGTGGTGTTTCAGTCTCTCCCATTGTATAGCTTGAGGAAGAAGAAGACCACTAGGTGTTTTCAGCAGCAAGGCACAGAGACTAGGAGTGAGTTGCGTATATGGATGATGG